TGGCTGGCACTTGGCAAGTAACTACTTGGACCTTCTTCCGTAGAAATGATGGATTTGTATTTTTCTTGATGGATGGGAATACAAGAAATGAGTAAGACTGAAAAGATTAGAAGAAGCGTGGAGCACCCTCCCCTGCTGCTTAGCATACCTAAGGAATCTGTATCTCTGTGTTTGCATCTGCTTGCACTTGTAGACCGTTGTCTTTCCTTTATTCTGTGAAACACGGCAGCTTTATCCAAAATAAAGCCAGTATTGTCGAAGGAAGAGGACACAGCATTCAAATGTATGCCAGTGAAATGCAGAGGATAATCTGTTCTTCGTTTCTTCATTCTTTTACATCTTCAACCCTAGAAATTAAAACTTACTCTGTGATATTAAGATACCAGCTAAAGTCTAGTGCCTTGCAATTTAAGTTTAAAGTCATGTAGTTCTTCCCTGTGTGTTTCTGAAAAAGCAAAAAGTATGTTCTCTTATGAGAAAATAACATCTCCCTAACAGGCAGCCATCAAAACTAGTAACAGGGAAAATTCTTGTGCTATCATGGCAGCGCGTGTCTAATAACTCTGCTTCACTTGAGCCATGCTTTCCAGATTTTCATTTTGATACAGAAATAGTAAAGAGTAGTGTTTCTCTGCAGTGTAACATAACTAAATAGCTGACCACAGGCTTTCAAAGGCTTCAGTTCATCCAGGTAGTTAAGCACTTGCCTAAATATAAACCTTCAAATACGCAAGTTGATCCAGCAACATATGCGAGTTGATTGAGCAAGACATTTAAGCACTTATCAAATATCCTGAAAGAATTAGAGTCACAGGCAGCATAGCCTGATGGAAATAATACAGGGCAATGGTCAGCTGAGCAGGCTTACTGAAAGTGATGCAGCCTTGGTTACAGCAATTAAAATCCATAAATACTGAAGATTAAATACAGTATACGTAATTAACATAGACAAGAAAGCCACAAAAAAGGATCAGTAATTGTTCAGCTCACGGTGAATAAACCAATGTAAACCTTTGCACAGCAGCCCTCAGAATACTGCAGAAATAAAGGAATTTAAGCAGAAACAGGGCTTACTTTTTCCTTTCTCTCCTCAGGCTTAAATCAAAATCTTTACAACCAGGAAAACGTCACCCTGACACTCTGGCAAGTAGTAGTAACTATCCAAAGAACACAAGCAAAGAAGTGTGAACAGCCATACGTATGTACAACTAGAGCCTCTGGCACATCTTCAGCACAAACAACTTCCCTTTCTGGGGGTTTGAGGATTATGAACATTATCAGCCAGAACAAACCCGAAGTCACTTGTCAAGCTTTGTAAAGAACTTGACATTGTTATGTGTTAGGCTTCAGGGTTGTGCCTGTATCAAATACAGGGGACATTTTTATATTCGTTTTCCCATTTACCACAGTCTTTCTCTGGACTCTCAAAATGCGCCTGCATCACCTCTGTTTTGTAAACTAGCTGCAGCACAGCTGTGAATCCTGGGGTTCGCAGGCAGACCTTTTTTCTCTTGGTATTCATTCATGATTTCTCACTGCCACACTCTTCTTGATCTTTTGCGTTTTGCACTCCCCTGAACCTACATCACAGGCCCTGTCTGGCATTTAACCACTGCCATTCTTTGTGCCGGCCCTCCCAGATTGCCATCTTCACAAGATGTGCTGCTTGCAGATGTTCTGTCGTGATCTAAGAGGACAACTCACAGTCATGGACCTGAGTCAGGCCTTGAAATTACACTGCTTGATACAATGTGATACCCCCAACAAAAAAAAGCAAAGTGTCTTTGAAGGAGAGAGAAGGATTTGCACATGCTCCTCTTTCTCGTTACTAACATCAAATGATTCAGACCACAATATTCCAGGAGATTTCATCGCAAAATACCAAAGATGCTACTGGACCCATTGGTCCAGATGCTCAATTCCATTGTCTCAAATCTCCAGAGCATTTTATGTTTGTCATGGAACTATGAGAAAGTCTCCCAAGAGAGGCATTAGACTGTGCTGCTATGAACACTGTGCTGTGGACAGGCAATTTGGTGTCTCTTAGTAAAATACGAAAAAAAAGGCAATAAATTTTTACAATAATTTGCATGACTGCTGTCTTGCTCACTTTTCACCCAGCCAATTAATGTCAAATTTTAAGAAAGCTAAAGCAGTGCAAGATTAAACAGGTCTGGTCACTATCAAAGAAGTGATCTTTGGGAGGGAAATACCGTCTAGCTGATTTAGTAGAAAGGTATCAAACAGCCTTTTCCACTGCCTGCAAACCTCGTCAGGGATCCTAAGGGCCACCAATCCTGCCTGGACACACAGACACATAAAAGTTCAAACTACAGAAAAGAAAGACAACACATTTAATACTTCAGCACAACAGAAAGGAAAGCAAGTCCCAAAAATCTTCACTGAAACGAAACCTGCAAACAGCCTTCCTGCACCAGGAGGTACGCCGCTGTCTCCGCTTCGTGAAAATAAGCTGATAGACAGATGGACGTACATAGATGGGTGCAACTACGTGTATGTGTGTGTGTATTTTCTTTTCACTTGACAAGCAGATCAATCCTCACCCACCTACTGTTAATACATAAAATCAATCTGGTTATGTGCGCTACAGATTAGCAGGCACTTCATCCCAGCTCTTCAAAAAAAAACAACCTAACAACCATTTAAAAACCTTCTAACACATCAATATGCAGCCATTCATCAAACACAGCCTAATAAACGCATGGCATACGTATGTCTGAAATGTGTGTGGCATGTGATGCCCACCGGATCCTTGATTGCCTTTATCTTCCCTACCCTTGGGACAGTGTCAACGGTTTCTAGTAGCCCTTTCTGGCTGTACAGATCAGCTTTGGCTGTGATTTCTAGTCTACAAGCTCACTAGCAGCACGTTGCAAGAATAACTGGGACCTCATGCTGAGGTTGAGTTGTAACTACCCTGTCAAATTATTTATATTTTTAAAATTAAATCCTGGTTCTTCCTGATTTTATTTCCTAGCTTACTAATAGTGGCTCTTCAATGGCATTCATCAATTATTCTTACCTGCAGTAAATGGACCCTAATTATTCTTAAATCTGTGCTTGCCCTTACTGGCAGGGATGCAGCTGTAACAGCAAGATCAACGCACGCTTTGTGTGCACCTCCCTCTAGTGGATGCAAAGCTCCGGAAAATCAGCAAAATACAACAAGGGAATTTCTCTAAGGAGACACAAATATTAAGGATAACTAATAAAGAAGGAATGGTGCCCAGCTGTCCTTATAACATCAGCTCAAGATTACCAGGGAAGGTAATGGAGATCTACTGAAATGCTAAAAATAAAATAAACAGAAGACTGACTTGAGAAAAAAATCTTATCAGATTTATAAACATTTATTTCATTCCCAAGCAGAGGCCTCTAATAAGATCATCCTGGAGATTTACTTTGTGAACCTTAAGGGAGTGGTTTGGAGAAAGCGAAATGTGTCATAAATTATGTTTCAAAAAGCTATCCTCCTCGAGAAAGCCTGCTGTAAATTTTTCAGCTGAAGGTCTGAATCAGCTCCGCTGCTGCACAATGGAGGTAGGAACCCCGCTGGCACCAGCATTGCTCTTGGTGAAAGATAAACTCCATCTGAACAGGACTGACTTTACTCAACAATATGAGCATTTTAACTGCACCACCACAGCCCCCCAGCTGCAAATAAAGTCTGGTGGAGTGTGCTAGTGGACAGGCAATTTGGTGTCTCTTAGTAAAATACGAAATAAAGGCAACAAATTTTTACAATGATTTGTATGATTGCTGACTTGCTTATTTGTCAGCTGGTATACAGCAGAGCTACCAGGCAACTAATGTCAAATTTTAACAAACCTAAACCAGTGTAAATTTAAGCAGGTGTGGTCACTGTCAAAGAAGTCACCTTTTTCAAAAAAGTGGTTAAACTGTGGAGTGTGCTAGTGTCAAAATTGTGAGTGCAGCTGCCTCCAGGGAAGAGTCGGCGCAGGCCATGGCACCAAGGTTAGGACTGTCCCACGCAGCTCTGCACGCAGCCAAGCAGCCCCAGCAGCTGCAGAGCCCCAGCCTC